CTACAGCTGTCAGAAGTATAGGCAGATGCTACATGAAAAGGAAGTAGCATCCCTGTTCTGGAAACTTAAATTGTTTTTTTTTCTTTTACTTTTTTTAACCAAAATTCTTTTCTGAACACGAATTAGAAAGTGAAATTAATGCTCCTTTTTATTAGATGGGAAACAGATTAATTATTTACATTGTGATTGCTAAGTGGCTTTAAGAGTCATTTGTATATTCTAGGTAATATCTTTTAGGGTAATACATTTTCTCTGCTAAGGTTGTTATGAGAAATTTGAAAATACAGGGTTAGTGGCAGCCCAGTTACTTTACTATAACTCAAAATAATCTGTTCTAAGCTATGCATGGCTCTTAACCACATTTAATGAAGCTTTTTTAATCCTAAGAATGTTGGTCCTTAGGTAAGGTCTCTAATCTTTTATCTGAGAGTTATATCTATGTGCCTGGGTATAATCTGTCAAAGGTATACTCTTTTCAGTCTAAAGACGATTTGTAGGTCGAGACCATATTCCTACAACTGCCATAAGACATTTGACTAAATTATATTAGATTAACATAGGCTGATATTGACAGCCTACTGGAAACATATTGATTAGGTCTCCTTTCATGTTATCTGTTATGATTTTTCTCCTCAGTTTCACTTACTGAAAAGACACAGGGGAAGAGATTTCAGCAGGAACAATGACAGTGCCTGTCACAAAATGTTCTCGATGTTTCCATTTGTTACTATGGCAGTGACAAAGAGGGTTCCAAATGAAAAGGCAGACCTGCTGTGACTAAGCGCAGCAGGACAACAGGAAATTTTCGCCTGACCTGGGAAATTAGGAAATTAGAGATTATAGAATTGTCTCCATTTCTAAGGGTAAAATTGTAGCACTTGGACTTTTGAGGGAGAATGTGAAAAGGGTAGTTCCACGAGGGCTGGCTAGTGACAAACAAAGGCCAAATGTTATAAAGTGCTTAAAGGTCTCCAAATAGAACAAGGAGGTATGCTTGTAGAGGCTGAAGGGATTTGTCCCTGTCACTAAACCCTTGAGCTGGAACTGTGAATTTAACTTATATACATTTGGGATGCTTGTTTTAAAATTATACACGAAAATCTATGTATAGTCATATATATCTTATGTAGCTAATAAGAACACATGGTACTCTGGTACTGAGATATGTAATTAACACATGGTAGGTGAGGTGATGCTTTATCCAAGAACTTGAATTTGGGACTGATATATAGATATGCAAAGTCACAAAAGACAGAAACACTCTTAAGTCAGCAAAAATATTTTAACTATCTAAAGACAGAATGTGTCAGTCAGAAAGGAGATATATTAATCAGGCAACAAAGCAAAAAAAAAAAAAAAAAAGGAACTACCTAGTAAATGTAAAAGTTGTCATTGCCTCTCCATTCATTTTCAAGGTAGAGGAGTATGCTTCAATAGCTGGAGTATTACAAATCCTAGTAGAAAGGCATTCCTTGGTGTAGAGATGGGAATATGAGGTTTTAACCAATGGATTTTTGAGTATTTCAAACTAACAATACCACCTCTATTATAAGATGTATGCATCAGCCTGGTGCTACTAAATAGTTGATTCATATAACTCCCTGTATTCGGATTCCATGCTGACCAAGCAAGTTTATGATCTGGCATTCTGTATCTCTGTAGTGCAATCAATTCTACTGCTTAGCAAAAAGCTTCTGGTTCAAACTCACCAGGGACTGCAGTCCTTCGATTCTCTATCTTTCCTTTTCTCTTTCTTTTTTGCAACAATTTTACCCTAGAGTCCTGAGAATCCCATCAGATAACAAACGCTCCTGGTCAATAAATGAAGTCATCTATTCAGATGATAGGAAGATTCTCTCTGGTAAAACCAGCTTTTCTTAGTAAGGCTTGTCTGTGTTTCTCAGTCCTAATCATGAGATTTCCCTAAAAGTCTGGAGAAGCAGTGCAGTGCAGTGAGTAAGAGCACTTACTCTGGAACCAGACTGTCTGGTTTCAAACCTGGTTCTGCTACTTTCTAGCTGTGAGACTTTAGGCAAGTTACCTAAACCCTTTATGTGTCAGTTTTCTCATCAGTAAAATGGGGTTAAAAATAACCTACTTCAAGGAGCTTTTATGAATATTAAATGAGTTAATATAAGTAAAGTGCTTAAGATATCAATTGGCTAATAGATATAAATTTATCTAGTGCTATTACTATATAGCTTGACTTACATAGACAGAACATGCTGAACATGTTGACAAAAGTATTCCATTGTTAAAATGACAGAGTACTCATTTCATTGCATGACTCAATCTTTTAAGATCTCACTACCATGGGAACTGATCAGAATAGAGTTTGGGTGAGAAAAATGGCTACCTAATTGAGGTACTAGCAGCAAAGCCCTGCCTAGTTCCAGCCTGCCTTCTATTTTGTCCATCCTGATTTCAATGGTGTGTAGTGAAACCCAGTGTTTGGATTCAGGCTATGATGAAAGTGAATAGAGTGAGGAAGCTGACATGTATTAATTACACAAGGGACTGGCAAACTATAGACTGAGGGCCAAATCCAGCCTGTGGCCTGTTTTTGTACAGCTGGAGAGGTAAGAAAGGTTTTTACGCTTTAGTGTAAAAACCAAAAATAAAACAGGAAATAAGCAATCAAGCAAACAAACAGAACAAGAAAACTATGCAATGCCGCTTATATATCGCCGGCAAAGCCTAAATGTTTTATTATTTGGTCCTTTACAAAAAATTCACGGCTCCCTGTTTCATACTCTTTCCTTTTTCTTTTCTTTCTTTCTTCTTTTTTTTAATCCTTACCCGAGGATATTTTTCCATTTATCTTCAGATAGAGTAGGAAAGAAGGAGAGAGAGAGAGAGAGAGAGAGAGAGAGAGAGAGAGAGAGAGAAAGAAACATCAATGTGAAAGAGACACACTGACTGGTTGCCTTCTGCATGACCCCGACCAGGGCCAAATACGAACCGCAACCGAGGTATGTGCCCTTGACCAGAATCGAACCCGCCACTCATTGGTCCGCAGGCTGACACTCTAACCACTGAGCCAAACTGGCCAGGGCTCTTTCCTTTTTATTTACTTCACTGTAGCCCAACAATAAATACATAATGAGGCTAGGTAAGTAGAATGAAAAAAAAAAGAGGCTGAACATCCTGTAACAAAGAACCCAAGTGTTTTGATGAGGTAGTCCATGTATCACCTTAAGCACAATACAAATGGGTAGCTAACTGTTCGCACTTCAGTATCCTAAGAATGACTTCTCTCTCCCTCAAAAAGTCTGTATGTTCCTCCCCAGCACTGGAAGTATTACAGGTAACTAGGTATCTGAAAGGGAATCTGTTGTTACAGAGCCAGGCAGCCCAGGGCCCCAGGGTCAGAGGTAGTGGCTAATTAGGTCACCACTATGTGCCCTACTAAACATGAAAAAATAGAATACTTAATGTTTTAAATATTTTACTTAAAAAGGCTACAAGAATACAAGTTTAAAAGTTTCTGTACTAACATTTCTGGTTTAACCAATTTCTAACCAGGACATCAATAGTGTTTCCTTAATGTATTACAGAAGTAGGCCCAATTCTGGATAAGATGTTTTTAGACTACATGGATTTATAACTCTGAAACAGTATGAAATAGGAAAAATAGCTGCAAAATACTCTAATCAATGGTGAAGCTTTTCAGAGCAAAGAAATAAAAGATGTAAGCAGTAAAGTAAAATATTATTTGTGGTATGTACTCTTACCAAAGAAGAGTGCATGGGGCACACTACCAGTCTAATGGTTAACAGCTCATTTAAGACTAGTCATGAAGAGTTTAAAAGAAGAAAACATGAAAAACTGATGTTGCTGAAAAAGACCATTAAAATAAAAATAAATAAAAAAAATGTATATATGTATTTTAAACAATATTAATTTAAAACCATCATTCATTCTTAAATGTTTTCCATGATTCAAATTATTTGCCAAGGAAAGAAGGGCAATGGTCAGCTCCATTTGCTTTTTTTCCCTTGGCGTGCTTGATGGTATGAGAAATTAACAGAGATCAGGAGGCACTCTTCTGGGTTATCATTCCAGAATCTAAAGCTTTACATAGATCATAACCTAGCTTAACTACACTTAACTAGATGGAGTTTAGACATATTGAAAGAGCCTTTGAACCAGATTTTATTTTATTTATTTACTTTATTTTTATTGTTGACAGTCATAGATGTCCCCTGTTCCCCACCCCTACCCCCTTTGCCCACCTCCACCCAGGCTCCCCCATCCCCACAGGCCTTCACTACACTGTCATCTGAGTCCATGGACTATGCACATACACTCTTTGGCTAATCTCTCATCTAGAACCCCCCCACCCCTCCCCCCTTTGACATCTATTAGTCTTAACTGAGATTTTAGATCAGTCTAAGCCTTCAAGCCAAGAATCTCCTAATTGTCTTGATCTTATTTTTGAGTACTCGTTTAAATAATGATTTGATTCTTATAAATTGTGCCAGTTCCTACTGAGCCTGAAACAGACAAAAATGTAACCCTTCCTAATAAAATAAACATCTAACTATTATATTAGAAACAAATGTGTTAACCAAATAATATAATCCAAAGACATCATCCTTAGTTATTAGCAGCATACTGTTTAATATTTTAAAACAAATCACGATTTGTTTTAAAGAACAACAATGTGTTAACATTTAAGCCCAAAGGGTTATGAATATACTACATATTGTACTTGATGCAGCTTGTTTATGCAATATACTGACAGACACAATCAATCTTGTGAAAATGACTAGGGTATAGCATAGTAGCAATTTATTTTAAGCCAAAAATACATATTTTCCTGTAGTAAAATACCTTCTAAATACTTACAATAATAGTAGCAGATGGAAAGAACATTAGGAGTTAATTATTTAAAAGAAGAAATTAAAAGTTATTAAATTCATAAATCTTGGCTATATGGTAGAGACAAGGGTTAAAGAAATGTTTAACTTATAAGTATAAAATAAATGAGTCTGTACCTCCAACAAATGCATCTCCGGCTCCATTGGTATCAATAATTTCTTTCTGGTCCTGATCCAAGACAGCAAAAGCAGTGACTTCACTTTCTGCAATTAGAGCCAGAGAAAGGCAGACTGACTTCTCTTTGTAATACTCAATATACAAACCCACCCGTTAAAGCTGAAGCTCCTTCATTTATCATTCAAAGAGACGGAACATGAGCTCCATATTCTGTACATGAGCACTCGGGAACCAAGGTGAAAAGACATCTATAAGCAATGCTTTTTTGGGGTAATTTTCATCATACAGATGCTGTAGGTGTTGTGTTAAGTTATACCTAGGTAGTTCATTTTTTTGGGAACAACTGTAAATGGTAGCAGGACATTTTTGGACAGTGCAAATAAATACTTGAACAGAAATTACGAGCTAAAAGAATTGTAAGGACTGGATCATGGGTCTCTAATAAAGCTTCAAGCCTGACTGCATTCTGGGAAGTGAAATCATGAATAAAGATTTTTTTGTTTGCAATTTTTATTAATTTATTTTTGTTACAGATGTTTCTCCTTTTTTACCCATTGACACCCTCCTCTCTATTCTCCCCCACTCCCCGTCCCCAGCATTGTCTATGTCCACTGGCTATGCATACATGCATACAAGTTCTGTGGTTTACCTAAACAATGATAAATTTTAAAAATATAAATAATTATTTCTCTTGGGTGTTTCTCTATACAAAATCACAATGGCACAATAAAATATAAGTACTATTTTGTTATAATATTTCATGCCAATGTCAAGGATTACTGATTTGTTTGGCTTACTACAAATAACCTAACCTGGTTACTTTTTACTAAGGAGTCTCTGTTTCCTTTAAACTATGTCAACTAGCAAAAGGGAAAGCTGCCACTGAATGCCTGGGCAGAACAAAAGGGACAGCACAATGGGCTCTTTTTTTAAAAATCCTTGCCTGAAGATACGTTTATTGATTTTAGAGAGAGAGGAAGGGAAGGAGGGGGAGGGAGATAAAGAGAGGGAGAGAGCGAGAGCGAGAGCGAGAGAGAGAGAGAGAGAGAGAGAGAGAGATTAGTTGCCTCCCTTACACACCCTGACCAGGTGATCAAACCTGCAACCTAGGTATGTGGCCTGATCTGAAATCGAACCTGCAACCTTTTTGGTGTACAGGACGACACTGCAATCAACTGAGCCACTCGGCCAGGGAGTAATGGGCTCCTGTCTCACAGCAGTCTGGACCAGGGCTCGGTTGTTTTGACTACAGAATAACCTAATAGAGTACATTAAACTTGGCACATGACAATGGAATGAAGTTATTTGTGATGAAATCTGGCCTAGAGGACATCTGCAAAAGACTGTGTAGTGCTCTTTATTGGGGGCTGGAACTTCTGAAATCACAAATTTGCATTCCTTATGGGGACAGATGTGGTCAAAGACTTAAACTTCAATCTCACATAAGATCAAGAGAAAGGGAATAGATCTTGAGAACCTTAATGTCTTAATAAAGAACCTAAAATGTCAAAAAACATGTCCTGTCTGCCTTCTGCTACCTGCAACTAATAAATACTTTCACTAACAGATAAGCATAGATTTGAAAATGCAAAAAAGATCCTCTTGGAAAGACTGATATCCAAGAAGGGGACTCATTCACTTAGTGATCCCTTTTGATGCAAGAAGGACTCCATACCAGAAGCATCTATTTAAACTCTTTAAGTAACTAACTTTCCACACACTGTAACATGTTGTATATTGGCGGTTAACAAGATTTTGATTAATTGGAAGTTAAGGCATAGTTATCTAGGATTACATTTTCTAGGGAGTATGCAGTACATACTATTACACAGGCCAAAAAAAAAAAAAAAAAAAAAAGATGTAAGCAGACTTTATTGGAAATAATTAGGAAAGACCTACAGTCTGATTTAGGAAAAGGTCTGTACCATAAATATTTATAAAGAAATCTGGTTTTATTACTTCCAAGTACAAGTCATCCTATAAAGGGAATTAACAACTATAAACGAAGAACAAACAAGCACTAAATAAGTAAAACGAGCTAAGTTAATGACACCATTACCATTTATAATAGGGTTACATTATATAATAATATAAAACGTCTATAGAACATTTTAGGTAATGTAAGAATATAAGAATTAATTACTGGATTACATATTTGAAAATAATTATATATAAATGGTTAGTAAGCCACAGTTAGATATAATTCTTTGAGTTCTTTGTTTGAAAAGTTATTGATTTTTGGTTGGATAAATCTATATTCATGTACAGAGCCTAATTCACAATGGAAAAAATTATTCTGAACTTTGTTCTTAAGAATTATGACTGCTTGGTCTCAATCACTGGAAATTCTAAATGAATGCAGTTTTACTACACTTTTTTTTCTGGATGTATGTGTAGATCCTTGCGATGCTTTATCTTTCGGTATCCTATGAAGTTCAGTTTCCTAAAACATAAAGTAGAATTATTTTCACTGCTTGTACTTATCGATACAAATAAAAATAAGAATATTAAGAATGTAAAAGAGCTGTTATACATCAGCATAGACAGAGTCCAGTCTATTGCTCTCTATCTAGAGAGCTGTATTATGAGAACTCCTTTCAAAACCCTGAACATTTTCAAGATCCTAAAATGTGTTCTAAATCATTTTTAAAAAGGATTAAAAATGTTCGATAATATTTAAATTAAATTATATTTTTGGTACATTCTGATTTTTTAAAATATGACGAGTGAGTTTACAGATCGATTAAGAAAAGAACCCCACACAATTAACTAAGCAGTATTCATGAGTATGACCTATTCCATAGCCTTCTAGATAATTTACTGTATAAACGTATGAAGTACCTCACTAAATCTTAAGACACACTTACAGGCATGGGCATTATTCAGTCAATGAGGCCCATGACTCTCATTGGTACCTAGTTTCATAGGTGTGAAATGGGCCTGGAGTAGCTGTGGGACAAAGTAACAAGACTATCTTTTTTCCCTAGTTGTAGAAAAACAACACTTGTTAGTTTTTTTTGTTTTTGTTTTTGTTTTTATCCTCACCTGAGGACATTTTTCCATTTTTTGTTCAGATAGAGTGGGAAGGAGAGAGAGGAAGAGAGTGAAACATTGACGTGAAAGGGACACATCGAGTGGCTGTCACCTGCACAACACAACCAGGGCTGGGGACAAACTGCAACCGAGGTATGTGCCCTTAGCGGGAACTGAACCCAGGTCTCTCTGTATCATAAGCCGACGCTCCAACCGCTGAGCCAAACCAGCCAGGGTGACACTTGTTAGTTTTGATGAAATACTTTTGCTTAAGAGATTAAAGTAAGTCAGACCCTGGGTGATGTAGCTAGGTGGTTAGAGCACTGGCCCACACACTGAAAGGACTCAGCTTCAATTTCCAGTCAAGGCATGTGTCTAGGTTGCAGGTTCGATCCCCAGGCCCTGTCCGGGTGTATGCTGGAGGCAACCAGTTGATGTGTCTCTCTCACATTGATGTCTCTCTCTCTCTCTCCCTTCCCCTCCCTCTCTCCCACTTATTATTTTTTTTGCATTTATCTTCAGACAGAGCTGGAGGGAGAGAGGGTGTAAGAGAGAGAAAGAAACATCGATGTGAGAGAGACACATCCAGTGGTTGCCACCCACACGACCCCAACCAGGGCCAGGGACAAACTGCAACCGAGTTACATGCCCTTAGCGGGAACCAAACCCGGGACTCTCTGGCCCGTGGGCCGATGCTCCAACCAAACTGGCCAGGGTCCCTTCCACTCTCTTTAAAAAAAAAAAAAAAAAATTGGAACTGCCATTTAACCCAGTGACCCAGTGATTCCACTTCTAGGAATATATCTTAAGAAGCCTGAAATACCAATCAGAAAGAATAAATGCACCCCTATGTTCATAGCAACACTACTTACAATAGCTAAGATATGGAAACAGCCCAAGTGTTCATGAGTAGATGAGTAGATTATGCTTTTATTTTAAATAGATGTTAAATTTAATTATTTTACTTAATAGGCAAGTCAATAACATAACTTCTCCTTTATATAGCAAAATGACACAAGGAAACTAAGTTGTTAGACTGCATGAAATATGCCAGTGTCAAAGAACAGGGTAAAAATGAGGATCCAGGAAATGTTTTGCTTTTCACTAGGATACAAGGATATGATCAAAGACACTGTGCTCAGACTGCCCTAATAAACAAAGAGAGAAACAAATGACAAATTCTGCTAATAGTAGAGATTTATAGAACAACCCTAATTAACAAGGACTTTTGGGGAATGAAGAGCTCTGGGTTAATTTAATTTTTTGGTTAACTTAAGAAAAAGCAGAAAGTCTTTTTAGTTGGAAATTTTTGCAAATGTATTAATATAATATAATCATATACCATGACATCCCTGCTTTAATTAGTTTAGTTTATTGAACGGAATGAAAATTTTCTTTGGTAATAGAGAATCCTACAGCACAGTTAATGTCATTATTCTGAACATCAATTCTTATTGTAGTTCCAAAGGCATAAGTGCTTTTATGAAAGGCAGGATAAATGGAATAGTGGGAAGTACACTGAATTAAGACTGAAAAGACTCATGATTTTTGTCTGTTTTTTTTTTTAAACAAATACTTAAGAACTTATCATGTGTCAGGCACTCTATTAGAGACTTGGAATACAGATGTGAATGGGTCAAAAACAAAAAACAAAACAAACAAACTTTTAAAAAAACCCTGTTCTCATGGGTCCTATGTTCTAGAGAGGAAAGGCAATATACAAGGAATGAAAAATGAACAAGATAACTTGAGATAACAATAAATGCCACAAGGAAAATGAAACAGGATGATGTGATGAAGTATGACTGTGTAAAAGAGTTAACAATTTAGATAGGTGTTACTTCCTCACTGAAAAGGTGATGTTTGAATTGAGACTTCAATAGCAAGAAGGATAGCCATGTGAAGACCCAGGGCTAGAATATCCAAGTGCAGAGGTCCTGGGCTAGCAGTAAACTTGGTGAGCTAAGCCTGTTTAAGGTTAAGAAGGCCAGTATAATTAGAGTATAGTGAGTGTGAGGAGATTAACTGTATGTGTGTCGGGGGTGGGGGGTGG